ACAAATTGTGGTGTGCTGGCATTGCATCTCTGGTGCTTAAACAATTCACCAGCCCAGAACAGTTGCTGTGCTCCAGAGTTTGCTGTCGAGGTCAATGGCTGTGAGGGGCTTGAAGAGGCTTAATGCTTTTTAATTTTTGTTTTCCTGCCTTGATATCTAAGGGCAGAAGAGTTACTCTTGGCTCTCTTGGCCACTGCCTAGAATTCAAACCTCTCTGCAGTTCCAAAGCATGCCCCCCCCCCGTCCCGCCAGGAGGCAATTCATAGGAGTCCCTCATTGGCTTCAGGAAAACTGGACTGCGAATCCTCTTAGGACGCTTGCTGATCTGGTCTTTATGTAACGCTAGGGAAGGAGCTGCAGTGGCTCAAGTGGTTAAGACGCTGAACTGCAGACCAGAAGGTCTGTAGTTTGGCAGTTTGAGGCCCGAGTGCTGCATGATGGAGTGAGCTCCCGTCTCTGTCCCCGGCTCCTGCCAACCTAGCAAGCAAGAAATTACAAGTAGATAAATAGGTACCACTTCGGAGGGAAGGTAACAGCATTCTGTGCGCCTCAGCGTCTAGTCTTGCTGGCCACATGACCACGGAAATGTCCTTGGACAGCGCTGGCTCTTCGGCTTGGAAACGGCGATGAGCATTGCATCCCTAGAGTCGAATTCGACTGGCTTTTGAGCAAGGGAAACCTTTACCTTAGGGAAGGAGCAGTACTGGTAGATGGATAACTCCATCACCGATCCATGAACATTTTAAATAATCTGAAAACATTAGAAATAATCGGCCAGATTTTTATAGCACTGAAATCCCAGTGCTCATGATGTTAGAATGCTGATGGGCTTTATGAGGTTTTACCTGATGAAAGGTTCAGTGAGAGCATTTTCCAGGGGAGGTCGATCTGTGTACTAAAGTCTGTGATTCCGCTTTGACCTGCAGTGTAATTACTATTTAGTGGATAAGCACTCAGAGCCAATGCAGACCTTAGAGAAGACTGTTTAAATGTATAAATAAGTGAGTGAACAGTGTAATGTGTGACATGGGGGTCGTGGAAAATCACAGCCACTGTTTTTATTATAGCCTTGGAAATGCGCAGTTGGGAGTGGAATCCTGTGGGAGGAATGGGGCTGCTTAGAGAGGGAGAGTTATAGGAAAAAAGCAACACCTATCACTTCTCTAAATGGTGAAGTAGTTTTTTCTTTTTAAGGCTGTTGGGGCTTTATTGTGTGTATTTTTGAGTACTGTGTACTTTGGCCCCAAGATACTAAAGATGAGGGCCCCCCAACCAATGTTCCCTCTAAGCTGTGGAGTCTTGTGAGCAGAAATGCTACTTTGTGAGCTGCTGGCATTAAAGTTGTGAGCAAGCAATTTGGCTACTACTGCATAAATCAGTTTGCTCTGGAGCCCTCCTTCCTTAGCTAAGACAAAAATGTGTGAGCTGGTGGCTAAAAACTGTGAGCTAACACACTAACTCAGCTTAGAGGGAACACTGCCCCCAACCTTTTTGAGCCTGTGGGTACCTTTGGGATTTTGAGAGGTTCTCACCACCTGAAAATGGCTGCCACAGGAGGCTTAGTCAAATGCAGTACCACCCTTCTTGCTTTGCAAAAGTATCACAGAAGGGTAATAAAAAGAAATGATCGAAAGCCCAAGGGAAGAAGGGAGAAGCAGTCTGAGGAATAAAAGGAAGAAGGAAAACCTGGGTGAGGGGAGGAATGGAGAAAAAAAGGAATTTAAAAAGGAAATCCTGACTAAAGAAAATCCAGGTGCTTATAGCACCGTGTTTTTCAGTCCTCCTGATCCTCCAAGTGGCTGTCTGTGGCTGCCATTGCAGCTGTGGAAACCCCTTTTATTTGAATGAGAGTGGCTAATAACAAGAAGAAGAAGAGGAGGAGGAGGAGGAGGAGATTGGATTTATACCCCGCCCTTCACTACCCAAGGGAGTCTCAGAGCGGCTTACAAACTCCTTTCCCTCCCCCTCCCCACAACAGACACCCTGTG